CAAACCTGTTCTGGTGCAGAGATGACCTTGGGACTTTCAGATTCCCAGAGTTTAACTCAACACTTCTAAACACCAGGGTGGGGTACTCCAGCAGGCCTGCCTGAAGCCCGGGAGCTGCGGCTGGCGTGGAATGATAAGCAGTCAGCCAGGAGAGCAGAGCAAGGGGCTAAAGGTTGATTTGCAGCAAGTAACGCTTCATTATTTAATTTTCTTACCATGGCATGATCAAGTAATACTTTTTACTTTTGTTCAACAGGTTCACACAGACAGCTAGAAACACGAGTGAATGAGAGTGTGTGTGTGTGTGTGTGTGTGTGTCCTGAAGAGCCAGAATTCCTTCCCCTTCACTATTCTACATGAAACTCCTTAGAAGCACAAAAATGCCTGGTTTATCGTCTTGCTTTCAGTTAACCACCTATGAAGGTTTTTAAAGGAAAAAAAGCTTAGAATTAAATAGCAACTCTGCAAAGCTACAGGTTTTTGCAAAGGGACAGAAAGATAGTAATTCAGACACGAATTCGTTTTAAGAGCTGAGGTTTGCTGCTACCTGGAGTTACTGGAGAAACAAAGCTGCCTTTGGGCACCTAAAACTAGTCAGACCTGCTGTAGCAGCTGCACGGTCGGCTCCAGAGCTGTCCTCCACTCTCCTCCCTCCGGCCCCCACCCCGCGCATCCGCATTGCTCACTCCACTCGGGGCGGCGCCGAACGGGCACACTCAGCCCTCCTCTGCCGTCCCTGCTCAGGGGCAGGGCCAGCTCTGGACACACGGCGTGCAAGTGTAAGAGGAGGCCAGACAAGAGAGCAGATGCTGACTCCATTCTGAACTGAAAGCTGCAGTTGGTGCGGAATACAGCTTCTGTGTTCCCAGGTTGCTAAGATAGATACATCAAATTGTGGGGTTTGCTTCAGTGAATCCTGGCAGGGATTCCCAATTAAGTTGAGAGGAGGGACGGGAGATCTTGAGAGGAGACGAAGGAGGCTTTCCAGCTTCAGCAGCCCTCAGACCACAAAGACAGCAGAATTTCCTTCCAAAAGGCAGTTTTCATTGTCTCTATGTGGTGCTTGTTTAAATGATAAGCATCTGTTTTGTCCTATTAGGAATCATATGTTTCCAAAGATATTGCGATGTTTTTATTTTGAAATTTTTATTTGTATTTCAAAGAAAATTTTTAGACAGCCAAGCATGTTTTTGTTTGTCTCATGATCTTCAAGGAAAAAAAAAAAAAAAAAACAAGGCATCTATTTATTACCCAGAATAGGAATGTCGTCTTATTGGCCTGACATATGCCATTCACAGATTCATACAAAGAATGAACTGCCACACAGTGCTCATGGAGAAAGACACTGCTCCACACAATGAGTGATGGGCGCTCCAGGGGACAGTGCTGCTCACAGGGTTTCCCAGCATCTGCACGGAGGGCACAAGTTTGCCTTTAACACCAACCGCACTAGCCACTGGAGACAATAATTTCGTTTAAAAGATACGCTAACTTTGGTTAGTTGCTCTTTCCTTCAGGAATATTGAAACTAAATTAAATATCCAGCCATTTCTTAAGCAGGAGTCCTAGCTTGGGGGTTTCGGTCAACTGTTTAAGGAATAATTATTAACAGTCAGTAGAAAATATATGATATGTGCATATGCAGTGGCCACTGCATTTTTAGATGTTCGTGTTCTGCTGGTCAGTGTTGATTAATGGAAAGACCTATGAAAGTAGCTGTTACCCTTATTTCAAGGCCATTTTCACTTAAAACTGGAGCTTGCCCTCTGGTGCCTTGAGCATACACCTGATCTTTGCACTCAGCAATCAGAGACACCTCTCTCTCGTCTCTCTGCCCCCTCTCCCTCTGTCTTTGGCAAGAAACTACTGCAACTGCAGCTATCTCCTATAGGATAGGCCGTAACAGTAAATATGAAATTTCTATAGCAACAAAATTTTAAGAAGTTCTACAAGTGAATTAAAGTTCACACTCCTAAATGCCATATTTACCTATACATTTTAAAAATCTCTGTTGTAATATTGACAAAGTCGTCTTGTTTTTTATTGATATAAACAAAATATAAAATAAAGCTGCATGCTTTTACTAGTGTTCTCTAACAAGGAACGACAGCAAAAGAAACCTCTAAGGGTTTCTGTTGTAACTTTTAACTTTCTTAAATAGCTAAAGTGTAAAATATTTTGACCAAGGGCAAACTTTTAGTATAATTTGCTACTGATAATTTGAAGTATGCTTTTATTTTTATTTATTATTTTCTGTCAGTTTAATTTTTGACAGAAAAAAATCTTTATGTATTTGTATGTCTGTATATATGTATATATCTTCAACCTCCCCTTATATGTTTTTTATCTGTTTTGTGTGTGTGCGCCTTTCTAAGTAGCATTGTAACTTTTATTCTGTCATTGGAACACTGTTTAAAATAGCATATGCCAGAAGCTATCAGCTGCTACACAAATTTGAGTTTTAAAATATCAAAATATATACTAAGTATCTCATTATTAATAATTCAGTGCATGGCAAATGGGTAAAATTTGTATTTCAGCTTCTCAATTAAATAAAAAAGCTTTCAAGGGGACAATTCAGCAAATAGAAGTCTAAAGGTTTTCTAAATCTGAGTTAGTACCCCTTTCTAATTTTTTTAAGGGAAACAGGCCGGAGCAGCTGTTACCTAAGAAGCTGTGACACTCGCCTGACAATAAAACTGTTCCCTAGGACACTCGTGTCGTACACTTGGTTGGTATTATAAAATGTGAGTCTTCTCTCCCACCTATTGTAAAAACACAAGGAACAGAGCTGAATGTTTAAGAAAAAGAAAGGCTGTCAAATCCATTTCATAAGATTTCTCACCTGACAGCAACATGGTTATGCACATTTTAATTAGGGGAGAGGAAAGAAATAAAAATTATGTTAAAGGGCTCCAAACCTGATGAACAACATAGACAACTTTACATTAACATATGATATTTCCAAGTAAATCAATAAAGCTAAAGGAAAATTTCTAACATTTATCTCTCTTTTTGTCGTTTTTCCACGAAGAAATTGCTAAAATGAACAGGAAAGCGGAGATGCATGAACGAGCTCTTCTTGCTCGTGCCAGAAGCAGGGATCTGAGGATGGGTATTTTCATCCTCAGAGCACACCCTACTACACTCAAATCAGAATAGACGGCTATAAAAAGGGGGAGGACTGGGAGGAACTCTAGGGGTGAGATACGCCTTCTGAGTAGCTGAACAACTACCCCCCCCCATCAGCAAAACAACCCAGAGGCAATCAGGTGGACTGTCCTCCAGGGGTTGAGTGCAGCCAAGAGCCCACTTCACTCTTGTCAGAGACTAGTCCCTAATTATAAAAGGCTGCTTTGAACACTTAAGGCCTCAGGGATCCTATTGGCTACTACAACTTCTAGGCTCTTTACACACATTATGGACATTTCTTAACATATATTGGGAAATCAAACAGTATATTTCATGAACAAAGCTTGAAAACATATACTGTCTTCCTTAAGACCAAATGAGGCTGCCCAACTTAATTAAAATTAAAACTAGTATGGTCTGAGGTTGGATGTCTCGCCCTGATGATTGTCCTTCCCCACTCAGTGCCTGTAAAAACTTCCTTTCCACCTCCTGAAACATCCTGAAATTAACCAGCTTGAAAGCAAAAAGTTATTCTAAAACAAATTATTTCTAATCTTTTTGAGAAATTTAAGGATAAACACAGAACTCTAATCTCAATCTATTACTATTACTTCTGCTAAAAGTAAGATAACTCGTGGCCAAGGGGGAAAAAAAACAATTTATGATCTTTCTCTCGATGCAGTGGCCCTCTGACGGCACCCTGTCTTAATGGTACAAAGTCCAGGGCTTGGGACAGCTGGCTCCCCTCAGCCCCCTCCCTTTCAGTCATAGGCGGTCACGACCAAGATGACTTGTAGATTTCTAACTTAAAAACCAATGAGACATCAAGTTTAACATACAGACACATTCAAAATCAATTCACTTGGGCACGGGCGAAAAGAGGGTGGAGAGGTACGTTTTTAAGCTAAAACACAGGGAAACTAACAGAAACACACTAAAGCAAGTTGGATGCAAACCCGGCCACAGAACTCAAGAGTGAAGCAGCCTTCGCGCCAGCAATACGAGCCTTAAAAAAAAAAAAGTCTCGCACGTTCACAACAACACAACCGCCACAACACGCACACATATCCCAGCTGTAAAAGCGACAGCTCCAAGCTCCCTCCGCCCCACCGCTGGGTTCTGGTTAGCTCCCGACCCCCTCCTGACCCCGGTCCGTGACTGCCCGTCCCCTGCCCTTCCCCCAGCAGATCTGCCCGCGAACGCTGGGGGTCCCCGGCGCTGGCCCCGGGGGTCCAAGGGAGCGGGGCAGGGAAGCAGCCGGAGGGAGCGCTCCTCCCGGTACCTGCTCCAGCCCAGGTCCCTCCCGCCGAGGCGCCCACGACCCTCGCGGCCGCCCGGGCCCCTTCTCCGCCCTCCCGGCTCAGCCGGCCCTGGCGAGGTCCCAACGCCGCCCCCACCCACCGGGAGCCCAGCGCATCCAAGAATCCCCTCCAACCCGGCGCCGGGAGAACTTACCACATGCAGCTCCACCTGGGAACTAACACATCAGGAGGGGTTTCTGCCCACTCCTCAAGCTACTCCCGCTCCATGCGGAATCCCCCGCTCCGGGGGCCCGAGGGTGGCTCCGAGGAGCGGGCTGGAGGCGAGACCGAAGCTAAGACTCCGCCGTCCTCTGCCTGCGCGCTCGGAGCATTATACAATGGTGGAGGAGGAGGAGGCGGCGGCGGCAGGCAGCGGAGGAGGAAGCGGGAGGCGGGCGGAGGGGGCGCCCTGACCGAGCTAGCGGCAGCTAGTGCTCCAGCACTCGCTGTGCAGGAGTGACGTGCGGCCAGCGAGCCTCCCGCGAGCTCCGGGCCCTGGGCTCAGCAGGCCCCGCCCCTCGGCCCGCCCCGCCCCTCGGCCACCAGGCCCCGCCTCTTGCCGGGCCCCGCCCCCTCCCCCGGAGGTCCCGGGAGGCGCGATAAATGCCTAGCGGGGCCCCGGCCGCCCCAGGAGCAGGAAGGGGCAGGCGGAGCACGCGAGACGCCGGGTGGCAGCGCCGCCCACGGCTCCCTTCCCAGGCGGGGCGTCCTTGATTTTCTCTTAAGGGAAGGCTTAAGGAGCAGGGGAGAAGAAAAGAGACACTCCGGCCAGGGGACCACAACTAACCACCAAGAATCCCCTCACACCACTCATGCAAATGACGGAGCCGCTAGTGACAAAGGCGGCGGCGAGAGCCGCGCGCGCACAGCCCGCTGAGTCGCGCGACCGCAAATATGACAAGCATCTGAGCTATTCTGCAACTTGGGGCCGGTTAGCCGGGCAGGCAGGGTCCCGGGGGGAAATGGGGGGAGAGAAAATCAGACCCCAAGGCGCGGCGTTCACGCTGCCAGCGGAGCTTTCGAGACAGGCGTTCCGGGAGGGCGGGGGCGGCGCTCCCGCAGCTGAGACCCTCTCCGATGCCCCGGTCTCAGGACGCACGAGTGGCCCGCAGAGACGTCCGAATGACAGGATGGGTGGGGGCTCCAGCTGGAGCTGGGGACAGAAAATTCCCTTTGCGTGCAGTGGCCTCAGCCCAACACTTGAAATGGGTCACCAAGTCAAGAGTACCTTCGGAACAGGACGGAACCGAGTTGCATCCTTCGTGGCAGGCCGCGGCCGTGGTGCAGACCCGGCAGCCGGCCGCCTACCCTGGCAGAGCCCACGCAGGTAGGCAAGCCAGGCTTGGATACGCAGGGGATACCGAGGCGCAGTTTCACATTGCTAGTCTTTTCTCTCTCCTTTCTTGAACTACTTACATTTAGCAGGTAAATTTATACTAGTTGGGAGAGGTTGTGTGTATGGTGCGAATTTTAAAGCCCTAGGAAAGGAGAGCTCCCCTAGAAAATTAATGATTATTTTAAAAATTACATGCGCGTTCAGTGTAAAGATGTTACAAAAAGTAATTCAGGCACCTTAAAACTTTGGCTGCCACCCCAATCAATATCGTCTCAGATCTCTTTGGAGCTTAATAGTCCACTATACTAGTTATGTTTAAGGATAATAAAGCTTTAAGACCTAACATAAAGGTGATTATAGGGCTTCCCTGGTGGCTCAGTGGTTGAGGGTCCACCTGCCGATGCAGGGGACACGGGTTCGTGCCCCGGTCCGGGAAGATCCCAAATGCCGTGGAGCGGCTGGGCCCGTGAGCCATGGCCGCTGAGTCTGCTCGTCCGGAGCCTGTGAGAGGCCCGCGTACCGCACAAAAAAAAAAAAAAAAAGGTGATTATAAGTTGTTAACATCAAGACAAGTTTACACCTATTGGAACTGTTCAGTAATGATTTGTTATCAATCAAATCGATGATCTTATTGAAATTAAACCTGGGCTAAAATGTTGGTAGACGGAACAATGTTTCTTGTTTTATCTTTCAAGGGAATGAAAAAGGTTTTTACTGGCCCCTCAGTATAATTAAAAGGTTACACAGGTTTTTCTTTAAGCATAACCAATGCCAGAAGCTAATTATTTGTGGATATCTTTGGAAAGTTTCATTACAGTGGCATTCCAAATTACACATCGTGGAAGTAGTGCTCAGGGCCCTCAGCAAGTCCTGTTCAGTTTGTGCCTGGGTGGCATAATATTCAAACATTTTGCCATGAAGCCAAGATATTTTTCATTTCTAGAGTTCTGCCTTTCAGAGAGGACACTAACTACCAACAGTTTCCTAACAACCCACTCACTTATACTTTCAGCGCTCAGTTTAAGGAGAAGCCATTGAAATAGAAGCTGCAGTAATCTCTTCCTGTGATATCTCTGTAGCAGAGGCCAGAGGCTCTGTTGAAATTAAAATAAATTGAAACTGTTATTCATGAATTGAAGTGAGCAGCAAGTTAGACTTGCACAATTTTTGTGACGCTTGGATATTTTCTAGCAAATGAATTACCAAAAGAACTAAGATCAAAGAGACAATTTTTAAGTCTTCAGAGTGGACGCTTGATTCTGCTAAAGTACGTATTCTGTGTGTGCTCAGTAAAGGTTTGAGTTCTTAGGAAAGCAATCTAAGTTATGGGGGAAAATGTTTTTCACCTTTCCACACTTTTGAAGGTAAATGTCTTACCAGTGCACATGTTATATATAAGTCCCACTTCCCCCACTTCTAGATTCTGGCATCTTGTACCAAGAAGTCAAAGGATGAAGTGGCAGCTTCAACAGCTGCTGATGTAGTCCCACACCAGGTGGTTCATGGCCCCCTCCCCTGGGGCCAAGTCCCCCACAGGCCAGCAGAGCCATTTCTGCCTGGTCCTGGGAATCCAACACCATGAGGCTAAGGAAAGGCCCTCCTTGAGCTTTTTTTTTTTTTTTTTTTTTCTCGGTACGCGGGCCTCTCACTATTGTGGCCTCTCCAATTGCGGAGCACAGGCTCCGGACGCGCAGGCTCAGCAGCCATGGCTCACGGGCCCAGCCGCTCCGCAGCATGTGGGATCCTCCCGCACCGGGGCACGAACCCATGTCCCCTGCATCGGCAGGCGGACTTTCAACCACTGCACCACTAGGGAAGCCCCCTCCTTGAGCTTTTGAAGTCAACTCCCTTCAGTATGCATGATTTAAAAAAAAAAAAAAGTATGTGTGTATACACACACACACACATACACACACACACACACATATATACATACATATATATATATACACACATACACATACATATATATAGTTTATTCCTAGCAAATGAACAAGAAGTGCTTAGTGAACACGTAAGTGTGGTTTTCACACTTTCACTCTCTGGAACATTTAAAAGTCCATTTACAATAATCCTACCCTCAGGATTTAGAGTTAGGAGCTTCTCCCTCTCACTTTCACATACAAAAAATTAGGCCAGTCATCCACATTTAACTATCAGGAACATACCTGTTTAGGGAGAAAAGAAATATTGCTTTTGTAAGTATAGAACTGTGATGGTAATTTTTAAAAATACTCATGAGTTTAATTTCAGAGCGGTACTTCTCAACATTGCTTTGTAGTTCTGGGTACTAGTTTGCACTTCACTGCTTCTCTTGAAAGTTTCTGTGCCCTCACATCTTGCAAACAACCAGACTACTGCACTAACTGAAGGCCACTTTTAGCACTTAATTAGTATGCACCAAAGAACTGACACAAGGACAAGCTGTCTACATAAACTGAGAAAGACTTTAGGACAGTTTTCAAGCTCATTCTTTCTCCTTTATTACATTTTACCTTTCAAGTTCCACATGAAATACTGGTAATAATCATCCATCTATATACCTTGGAAATATTGGTCTTATGCCCCTGCCCCCTCAATAAACGTTTCAGTTATTAAACACATTATATACAGCCAGCTGGGCTAAATAATCTTTTCGTGGAAAATACAGAGATCCTAACTGAATGTGGACTTCCCATTCACTGATCACTGAAATCTATTAATAAATCTTCAAAATAAAGTCTGGACGTCTCACATCACCTAACTGATTATCAAAGAGTTGATACAGGATACGATGATTTGTTAAACTAAACACTCTCACAAAGATGGCATGGACAGGTTCAGTACTTTTCAGCCACTAGCAAGTTAAAACGTCACGGTACCAAAGGAGCCAGTTAACTTCTCTACTACTGCAGATTCTTCTCCATCTCTTCGCCCTACGTGTGTCAGGTTTTTTCCTGCCTCTCCCTGAAGTCACGCTTCACAAGAAGAGAGCTTCAACTCCGGTGAGGGGCTGCTCTTGCAAAACTTCCCTCCTTGTTATTGGACTGCTTTGCAATGACTGCCCCTTATGTTCTGGGAGAGGGTCATTTTTCTGTTAGCAATACATGCCTTTTTCTCTCTTAAAAATCTGATAGTATTTAAATCCTCATTTGGAAGAAAATCTTAATGATAACATTGGAAGAAAATGCTCTTAAAACCATTTTCTTTTTTCTGGCATTTTTGATTAGTCCCTTCTAACCATTTCTAGAGGAGATGGCATCTGTTGAGCATGAGCCTCCTCCCTACTTCATTTGCCACTATTTTCCGGTAAAATCCTCAGATAAATGGTGAGGTCCACTTCGGAGCGGCCCTCCTTAGAGACTCCAGCTCTTGCTTTCATCCTCTCTCAGCTGGAAAGCGAAGGCCTTGGCTGGTGACAACTCCAGTGCTCCCTTCCTGCCAGATGCCACTCTGCCAAGACTTGGTGGGTGCTTCTCAGAAACCTCTCTCCTTGTCCCCAGTTCCCCACACGGCACTACTCTCCTGGTGGCCTCTGTACAGGTTGACCCTGTACTTCCTGTCTATAAACCATTCTCCCTTCTTGAGCAGTTTACACTCTTCTCAAGGTACTCAGCACTCCGGGCTTCCCTAGGAAACTTCAATGAATGTTAGAAATCATGCAGCCTCCAGACCATCCTTGTCCCTGGGAACCAGCCTGGTGAGAGGAAGAGTCCTGGAGTAGGAGTTTGAAGATCTTGTACAAATAAATCTCTTAGCTATGATTAATCATTGACTTTTTAGTTTCTTAATCTGCTATGTCACAGATTTAGGATAAGCACTGGTTCCGGTGAAAAGAACACAGGTGGTTGGTCAGAAGATCTTGGGTCTAGTTCCTCAGCCAGTCAGCAGTGAAGCTGAATCAGGGCCTTGACATCATGGGACCCGCATCCACACCCCACAAAATGAGGCACTAGGGCTCAGGGGTTTCTGTAGCCCCTTCCCAGAACTAAGAGTCTATGAAAAGGTGACTACAATGGGGACTGCCTTCACGGAGGAGTTTAGAAGAATATAAAACCAACTTCACATCCTATTTTCTGTGATACACATTCTCGTATCTATTGTAGAAACGATCTAAGATTGTGTACCTTTAAATCACCTGTGAGTAAAGAGGTCATTTAAGAGAAGTATGGTGATTTCGGGAATGTAAATAACGTATTTAAACCACTTTTTGAAGTCTCAGCTGTAGAAATTCTACTTTGAGGAGTTAAAAAAAGTCAAAGCTTTAATGTGTATAGATGCCCAGGAAATACCTCTAAGTTCAGGCTATGAAGTATCATTAAAAATAAACATGTGGACAGTTTAAATGGAAATAGCGCATACAACAAAAAATGAATCAGCTCTTTGCCACTGTGAATTTTTATTGGTTTTCGGAGGAGACGTAACACTTAGGTAAGACTTTATCTTTTCTTTTAGTCACCAACGCAGAACTGTTCTTTAAAGACCTGTTGCCAGAATAAACAAGACTTTTTCAAAATTATCCAACTGTCCAATAATACTTGCTTTAAATTGAAAAATATGTATTTTTCAATTAAAAAAATTTTACATTTAAAATTTCAGAAATGCAGAGTGAAAGTCAAGTAGGAAGAAACTAAGGCAAACATCTCAGATAAACACCAATGCTACATTAGATACACTGGTGTAACTAGTCAATTGTTTTCCTAAACATGCTCTAAATATTGAACAAAAGATTTTATCTTGCTGAGTAATATTTGTTTCAAAACTGCTTTCTTAGAGAAGTCTTGTTTGAGGTATGTATATCAAACTCCTTAAATGGGCAATCATCAGAGAAACTGGCTTTTAAGGAGAAAATAATAGTGTGAATGAGCTATATGTAACTTCCCTTTTTAAAAACAGAAGTTGAATCTGTAACACCAAATTTAGAAAGGAGAGTGGATGGCAGCAAATACCACGAGAATATCATCTATAGCATAGACGCCCACTGCCGTTCTGTTCTGTTACAAATAAATGTACACTCTACAAACTCGAGTTTGCTCAAACAATGCATGTATTTAATTGTCCCTAAAGATGATTCCTTTCAAAGAAAACATACATATGAGTCACATCAAATTTAAAAGACTCATTTAAAAAGTGCCAGATTCCCTGACTTTGACTACAGTGATTCATTTGGCCTCATTACACAGAAGACAGCATAGTCCATACTGGGACGGCTGATAAATAGCTTTTGTGGGAGTAGTATTGGTAATTTCAACACCATTTATATTTCCTTTTACTTTCCTTTAAGTTATTAAAGCCCAAATTATAGGGCTTCCCTGGTGGCACAGTGGTTGAGAGTCCGCCTGCCGATGCAGGGGACACAGGTTCGTGCCCCGGTCCGGGAAGATCCCACATGCCCCGGAGCAGCTGGGCCCGTGAGCCATGGCCGCTGAGCCTGCGCATCCGGAGCCTGTGCTCCGCAACGGGAGAGGCCACAACAGTGAGAGACCCACGTACCGCAAAAAAAAAAAAAAAGCCCAAATTATAAAGGTTGAAAAGAATTTCAATGAATCAGACATTCATTTTTAATCAATCCTCATTTGTTATCACTTTAGAACTGTTAGACATGCTCTTAGTTTTAGTGATAAAAAAAAATAACAGCTATAAAGATAAAGACTCCAGAATTACTATTTTCACATTATAGCCAAAAATGAAAAGTGAGAAAATAGAAACCTTTCCAAAAGTTCATCTGATGAAAAGAACAGAATTAATGGGGAGATACACTATTTAGAGACAAGAATACTTAATACTATATAAATATCAATTCTCCCCACAACTCATCAATAAATTAAATATGATTCCAACTTAAATCCCAATGCTCCCCTCTCCCCACCCATGGAACTTTAAAAGCAAATCCAGAAATCATCTGGAATAGCAAAGGACAAAAGATAGCTGTAGTAAGTTTAAAGAACAAGATGGGAGATGTGTCCCATCAGATATCAAGGTTTATTATAAAGCTCTAGTAATCAAAACAGAGTGGTGCTGGCAAGGGATATATAGATCAGCAGAATAGAATCGAGTGTGCAGAAACAGACCCACACATATACAGAAGCATAAAATATGACAGAGATGAGGTTACAGATCAGTGGGAAAGAACAGGCTATTCAATAAATGACTAAAGGTCACCCGGTTACCTGCACGGAAAAATAAAATTAAATGAGGTACCTGACATTTTTAGAAAAAATACATTTCAGGTGGACTAACATCTAAATATGTGAAACAAAACATTAAAACTTTTAGGAGAGAATATAGGAAAATATGTTTATAGGCTCAGGATAAGGAATGTGTGATTTCTGTCTGTCTCCTAAGATTCATTCTCTACTTGCCTCTGCTTTGCCCCGTACCTTGAAATGTTGACCCCTATGGACTAAGCTTCTTTGCCAACTAGCTTCCAGCTGGATTCTTCAACAGGAAGGCACCAGAAAGAGACCAGTGGGTCAGAGCGGAGAGAGGCTGGGGTATTTCTTCCCTGCTCCTTCCTGCTTTGGGCCCCTGTTATAGCATCACCCATCCCTCCAAGACCACAGCTTCTGCAGGCAGCCCCTTGTCCAGGGTGCCAACTCTCACAGATTCTAGCAACACCATTTCCTCCCCTTTCCCCTTTAGACCTAAAGATAATAACAGCTTCCTACAGTTCTTGGTCTTCCATGCCTCAACCTTTGTCTCTCTGTCAAAAGTACTTTTTCATTAAAGTCTCTTTAGTTGAGTCACTTGAGTGGAATACTGTTTCCTGCCGAGACTTTGATTATTAAGAAACAAGACAGCCAATGCACAGACTATAAAGAAAAAGACCAATAACTTTGATTATATTAAAAATTAAACATCTATTAAACAAAATATACTATAAAGATAAAGGCAAGCTAAAGACTGTTGAGTGATATGTGATTCATATAATCAACAAAGGATTAATATTCAAAATTAATAAAGAATTGAATCAATTTTTAAAAAGTCATATAAACCCAACAGAAAAATGGGTAAAAGAGGAAGCTCAAATATCCAACAAATACGTGAAAAGATACTCAATCTCATCAGCAATAAGAAAAATGCAAATTATAAAAGGTTAGTTCGCGGCTATCAGATTGACCATTTTGGAGATAATGTGGTATTATCTAGTGGAGTTGGAGATGCACACACCCTGCCCACATACATGCAGTCTTTCTCAGCTAGGGTTCCGTAAGAAAATAAGCCCTACAGAAAAGAATTCAAGTGACTATTTCCTCAGATCTCCCAAGGGTGGTATAAAGGTAAGAACCAGTGGTGTGCTGGTAAATGTTTAACAACTGGCTGGTGTGTGGGTGGGGAATGGGGAAAGAAGGAAAGAAGCCCTTATTTGTAGAATTTGCTGATTTCTGTGGTGCAAATAACCCACCATGGCTGATTTCAAACCTCCCAACTGAACTGAAGAATTAGAAAGACTGGCGTAATCGCTGGCTCTTAGGAGCAGGTATCAGTCTCCAGCTCCAGTCCAACACGTGAACCATTCTAGACAGAAGATAATTCATTACATACAATAGATGCCTTAGGGTACCGGGGTTTAATTCTCTGGAAGAATTCTGGATGAGAAGGGCTAAATCTAGAATCTAGAGAAACTCTTGTTTTTATTCCCCATGGAGACATAGAAGAGTGTTTATTGTAGCTTTGCTTGTCATAGCTAAAAATCAGAAACAACCTTAATGTTCATTAAGATGAGAATAAATTGATATACTTGAAAACTACGGTGGATAAGAAGTACTAAAGATACCAAATATCAACATGGTTAAATCTCAAAAACACAATGCTGAGTAAAATAAAGCAAGCTGTAAAGTATGTACAGTATAATATCATTTATATAAAATATTTTAATACATGCAAAACAATACTATATATTGTTTACCAATACAGACGTATGCAATTATAGAATAAAAACATTACAGACAAAAAACATTCAGGAAAGTGGTTGACTTTCGTAAATGGAGGAGAATACTGGAATCAGGGAGAGACACTATAAAGTTTAATTTCTTTTTAAAAACATGTAAAGCAAACAAATATGTTGTAATAAACAATTTAAATTTATTGTTTTAGATTTCATCACATTAAAAAAATACATTTTTTCCCTTTCTTCCATATGGTTCCCATGAAGTAGAACTTCGTAAGGTTTTTTCCCACAATTTCTAATATCTATTAATAAAGCATTGGGTAATATTTATATTTCATGCATTTATTTATCCCCCATTATTTCAGTAATAACTTAATTCCTTTTACTCATTTGATATATTGTCCGTCTTCTCTGTCTCTTAATAATAGACTGCAAAATTCAATGACGATGCTACTGTAACCAAAGTTTTTAATAGGAAGCCCAGCTGACAAGGCAGGTATAAGAGAATAATTGGTTTAAAGCCAGTATTTGGGGGTATATTTCTCACCTGACTAGAAAGGATAAAAACTTCCTTACAGAATATGTAAGGCTTCCTGTTACTTCCTTAACATACCAAATAATGCATTTAACACTAAAAAGTGAAATCTTGTTTTCTTTTGTTTTAAAAAACAATGGAAACACACTTTCCCCGTGAACTATCTTTCACTTGGAGTTCAGGTGACCACTTACTGCTACGCCAAATGCATTCTGCTTCTCTCTTATTTGTGTCCCTCGATACAGGGTTATAGGAATAAAGCCCACACACTCTCTTGACCTTTGGGAATGTGATGCTGTCTCAGTGCACGGGTAGTGTGACTTTTTTTCAGAGATTGTCTTGAAATAAGCCTATGTTTTAAATACACACTTTTCTGCTTGCTAGCAGGCATTCTGAAGCTAGGTGGTTCTAAATAAAGAACTCTAGTCAACAACAGGAAATAACTCCCACAGAAAAAAGGGGCAGAATACAAACTCTCACCAACTCTTGTACACAGTTCACAACGGCCTTTTGTTCCATGCACATTAAGCCTGAAATCTTTACTTTTCAGAGCATGTTTGGGCCTTTGCAGAGCAATTAAACCTTCCTTTTCCTTTCGCTGGTGTCCTTGCCTTCTCTCCGAGAAAGTTAACCTTACAACGGACTTCTTACTATGAGGTAGCAGATCAGAAAATGGAACAGTTTCTATTCTGAAACTCAACATTTTTTTCTTAATGGAGCTTCTCAAGGGGAAAAAAAAAAATCAACTCTCAGTGTAAAACTCACTTTTCCTTCTAATACATAGAATACCACATAAACACACATATATATGTCCCTAAGGA